ACAACAGTAACTGATATCCCCACCAAGGGAATACAGGTGACTAATTGGCAATCATCACCACAACATTGTTTGATATTACAAAACATGCCGAGCTACCGTCACCAAAAACAATATCGAAGGCTGACTTTTCTTCACAAACGCGCGCGCGCTTGAACGGGCATTTTCTCATCTCCGCAACCCTCATCGAGGAAAAAGAAGACCCCCCTCCCCTCACCCTCCCTCCTTCGCATCTTCTAGATCAGAGTTCAACCTGGGTTCGTTTTCATTTCCGCGCTGAAAGAAGGTCCGCAGACGTACCTCAAAGTGTCTGCGCGGCACGAGCGGATGGTCAGCGCTAAGACATATGATTGGTTCCGCTGGACAAAAGATGGGGCTCAGCGCGCGCGCGGTTCTGTTGTCTTTTTTGGGCTGACTCCAACTAGGTACGGGAGACGGACATTTTGAGGTCCTTGTTGTGAAAAAGCCCGCTTAATCATCAAAGGCTGTGGTTATTCATAAGCTGCAAGCCATCTAGAGTAAGCATCTTATCGTTTCTCTTCTGCTTCTTTTCTTTTCTTTTCTTTTCCCAAAGGCCTGTTGAGACGCAGCGCCCATTATTTGCATACGCGTGGCCAAATGTCCGGGGTGGGGGGCGGTAAGATCTGATAATGTCCGGCTCTATCCGGCCCCGGTTACGGCCCCACATTTCGGATGCCTTGATCATTACCCTATAACAATAGACATTTTGCCAACATTATCCTCTTCTTCAACCCGATTTAGGCGTCAAACTCGTTTATACTGCTTGGCTAGGTGTTAGAAAGGAGGTGTTTGGTTCGTATTTACAGTCACTTTCCTCTCAGTTGATTTCTTGAACTTTGTAGGGGAACATGTCTCCTCAGAGAATACACGCTGTGAAGTCTGACCTGTGGTTCCGCTGTATGTTATATGCCAGGTATCCATTCTCCAGTATGGCGATCCTATTACGAGAGGTAGTTGTCACTTTCATAATGCAGTCTAGCTACATTGGAGACAGAAAGGTCTTGATTTGTAACCCACAATGTCCTCGGTATCCTGCTATATGCAGTAGTAGCGCCACATGTATGAACCATGATCAAGGTTAAAGCCATGCTTACAAATTCATAATGAGAGACCAAGTCAGGTCTCATCAAGGTGAGATAGAGTTACGAGCTATTAGTATTGCATTTAGAGTCTAGATGAGGGTCGCATCCTCTTCGTTCGTGGCGGAGTTTAGGTCCATATAGAGGACGCCATGGGGCTTAAAACGAGTTAGAAGTAAGAGCTATAGAATGAGGGTCAATTTGCCCACTAAAACTGGTGATGTCCAGGTTTTTTCCTTTTTACGTCTATTTGGTATTGTATCAACACTTTCCTAGCGTATCTTCTATGTAGCTGTGGATTCGGACGTGACCGAAGCTACACAAATATGGTGCCGATGATGGAATGAAGGCAGTTAATGCGGAATTTTCATATGATGGGCTGAATCGAAGGACTCAAGCTTCCTTTTCGGCTGCCAAAGAGGCTATGGCGAAGAGCCATAATGGAGCAGGATTACTCCGTGTTGTTGCGAGATGCTTTATAGACGGATGGATTTAGGTAACTATCTTCTCATATCAACAAGGTAATTACAAAGTAATAGCAGAAATGGTACTCTTCGAGAAATGCAAATAATAGCCATGTATTTTTTATAGCTCAGTCTCTATCAAACCCTGTAATTCTTCACGTCTCAAACGCCTGCCTGCCCTTCTCCTCCGACTCGATTGTCAATTCCCTCGTGAACAGAGACGTCAAAAAGCCAACAACACCAAACGCAGCAAGGATGTAGAAAACCGCCCTGAAAGCATGAGCATAGGCCTCTTGTATGCTGTGCAAGGTACGGGGCGGGAGGTCGAGATGCTTGAGAGCGGGTATGAAGCCCAAAGCGTCCTTCGAGTTCGCAAGACCCGGGGCCCCGGGGAGGGCGCCGAGGGAGGCAATCGCGGTGACGAACTGGTTGTTGAAGGCCGAGGCGGCGATGGCGAGGCCGATGAGGGCGCCGAAAAGCCGGAATGCGACGAGGATGCCAACCGCGAGGCCTTGGTCCTCGTTTCGCTCGGCGCTGGCTTGCATGGGGATGGGCAGGACGGTGAATAAAGAGCCGATGCCAATGGCCGCAATGACCTGGAAGCCGGCGCTTTCTGCCAGGTTCTTGTACGTGCCCCAGAGACTGAACAGCCCGACTCCAACGGCGAGCATAAGCCACCCCGCCCAGATGGACCAGACATAGCGGCGCGTCCACTCAACACCCATCGCGGCAATACCGGTAAAGGCCATGAGCACGGCAAAGAAGGGGATGAGGGATATCGCAGACTGAAGAGGCGCCTCGAGGAAAATAGCCTGGAAGAAGAGGGGAACGTAGGCAATGAGGGTGTAGAGCACCATGCCGTGGATGAAGCTCCCCACCAACGTTGCGGCGGCGGTGCGGTTTCGAAAGATGCGGTAGGGGAACATGGGCTCCGCAGGTTTGGACTCGTACCAGACGAAGACACCAAGGACGAGCACGCCAATGACCAGCGGGACAATGGTCCTCCAGGAACCCCAGGGGTACATGGTGCCAGCCCAGCTCAGGGGCAAGGTGAAGAGAACAGAGCCAACGGTGAACAGGCCCATGCCTAGCCAGTCTACTCTAGCCAGCTGTTCACGGAATGTGTCCGTCATGGGCTTCAAGCGCAGGAAGAAGATGGTCAACGGCAGACAGACACCAATGAGAGGAAGGTTAATCCAGCCGATCCACCGCCACGTCGCGTAGTCGCTGAAGACGGCACCAAGAATAGGTCCCAACACGGTTCCCAGCGCCATGGGCACGGAAATCAAGCCAATATAAAACGCACGCTCCTTTAGCGTCGTGATGTCGGCGATGATGACCTCGTTGAGCACGTCGATGCCGCCGCAGCCCAGACCCTGCACCGCCCTGCCCAGGATGACCACGGGCAGGGACGGGGCGACGGCGAAGACGATGGACCCGAGGCCGAAGAAGAAGAAGGCGGCGTAGAGGGGGGTTTCCTGCCTGTGATGTCGGAGATGCTGGTGTACACGGGCTGCACGATGGTGACGATGAGCATGAAGGCGATGTTGGCCCAGAAGGCCTCGAGGGTGGTGCCGTTGAGCTCCTCGGTAATGGTCTGCACACCTCGGCTGTAAGCTTTTTATTCGACAACAACTTTTTTTTTTTTTTGGATAATAGAATGGTATCGCTCTTGAAATGGAAAGCGCGAAACTTACAGGGAGTGCTACGGCGAGCGCTGTGGCATCCACAGAGACGATGAAGACCATGATGAGCAAGGACAGGAAGGCAAGATGAAAGCTCCAGGGTTTGTTGAACTTGTCTCTCAATGTCGACCTCGTCTGCTGAGCGCTCTCTGAAAGTTCATATTGATCCGTAGGTTGAAGAACATCTGCTATCGCTTTTTCAATGTCCGATGCAATCCCCTTGGGACCGTCCCGTCGAATGGCGTCTGGCGGTGGTTGTGCCATTTGTGTAAAACACCAGCTGCAATCCAACTTGGTGAGATCAACGTAACATATTCCGACACGATATTTTCAGGGCCTCATTTCCCTTTTATAAGGGGAATTACCCTCTGCCGCATCATGAGTTGAACTGAGGAGGTGGACAATAAGTCAGCCTATTGTTGTCTACTAACCCCGCCTCATACGAGCTCAACAAGATTGTGGGGATTTTTGTTTGTTGGAGTTCAGAATATGCATAAAACGTTATATTATAAATCAGATCTTAGATTATAAATCGAAGGCGGATTGTAAAGCAAACATCAACAGCAAAATGATTTGTCTTGGGCTGGTTTTCTTTTTTGCCAAGATAAATCTTTGATAACGGCCATTACTAGAAATGGACATACCGTGCTCGGCAGATGTGAGAAGGATTTTTAAGGTTGTTACCCGAAATGTAATCCGTACCTTAAAGGCAAGCGAATGTAACTAGGTATACCAATTTCTAATATAGCTTCAATGATGCTGGGGGGAGGCGGTGTTGCCAGTCCTGGACATGTGGACCTAGATTTGGGACTCCGCATCGTTATGTTATATATATATATATATATATATATATATGAGGGAACAAGTCAATGTCCCACTTCCGCCGCTTGCTCGCAATTTACTATTTGCTAGTAATTACATGTTCAAATTCGCGCAACAATATGCTACCGGTTTTCTTCTTCTTAACCTGTTGACATTAATCGCTATACGGATCTCAGGGGAAGTCAACACAAATCTCACAGAGGAGGGACTCAAAGGATAGGCATTACGAGCCAAAACTCAACAGTTACAAGACTAAGAACCACATAGATATACCAGCGAGACAACAACGGCGAGCATACACTTCAAAGAAGAAACCGGGAACAACAAGAGCGACTGTGCAAAATAGCCTCGGATGGGTCCAACATGTGTAATCGAAAGATTCAGGGAATGATTATAACGTGCCTCTCATGAGTTTACACATACCATTGGCGGCCCGCAAGATGCTAGCGTAAACAAAAACTTTGCTGCAATCCCCAAGGTCCTTCTTGTTCCTCGATATATCCCCAAGTGCAGCATTCTTCAAATCTCCAGCCACCTACCGCGAATAACAAAGCATAGATGGACAATGTCCTAGGAGAGTTACATCCAACATACCACAAGGAATTCACTTCCTTCAGGGGTCATAGAACCGGACATGATCGAGTTAGGGATCTTTAGCGAGCCATACACATGCCAAAAAGCTACGGCGTGCATATTGGGCATCAAACCACACATCTACAAGGCAGTGAGAGCACAACCCTCGCCACTCCTTGCCTCATCCTCAATCTGTCGTCGGTACAGAGGCCCGGGACATCAAGGTGCACAAACACAAGGCAACGAGCAGACCCCAATCTCGATGCAACTCTCCAGACGTCACTCTTCATGCCTCTTGTACAGATACATGCACGAGAAACACGGATTATAAAGTGAATACACTCCACTTCCAAGCACATACGACCATATCCATTGGACAATACTGGATCCCGTCCGCTCTCCGTGATGTCAAGCCAATGAGAGGCAGATTAGTAGTTGGGTGGGTGACCACCAGCGAACACCGGCTGTTGTATGTTCTTTATTTTTGTCCCCTCTCTACATTATCCTACTTTTTTGTTCAGTGTCAATGTATAAATTGGGGAAGCCAGATGCATCAAGGAGGTAGTGGTCCGAGAGAGCTCTGAGGGTATTAGACTTTGAGGCGAAACGCATAGCTCAGGCGAACATGTAGCTCATATGGAGATGGAGTCTCACAGGGGTGCTTTATGAAGGATGACGAAAAGTGGAATTTGTGATGCCATGATCTCGATGCTGGAATGCGCCACTCGAGTACTCTGCCAGAATTTTGGCTCAGTATAGCCGTTGCCTGAATCAAGCTGCTCCAAGAGGCTTGCGGCTATTACCCATAGGCTATACCTTGAAGAACCTTGGGCTATGAAGTCACCTCCGTCATAGCCTTGCGCTCGTCAAGGTTGCTAGATAGCAGCCAGGTTCGATTTTGTGTGGGGTTGCGATGCCAGAGGCAGCTGGTAATAGTTGTGCGGCGCGTCACCTATTAAGAGGATTCCATGGTGGGACACCCGGCGTTGGAGATGAAATCAACGAGTATTGTTTTTGTCGATGCCCAGGAATTAAACCTGAAAAGTTGGAGGTGTGACATGACATAACCTGTAGAGCCATGTTGCTATTGGGTCAATTCGTAATATCGAGAACACATCTCTCCTTATGGTGGCGGGTGCTTCTCAATGCGGTTATAGAATCGCCACTTCTCCAAGTGATCTCGAATTCTAGAACCTGCCTGCTTTAAATCTAGTCATCACTGCATGCTTGCCAGCGCCGAAGAGCATCAAGGACCGTCATGAAGGCTTTTTCTCGCCTTGGGATCTTCGTATCCACTTGAAAGAAAGAAAAGCTGTTTGCAGGTGTGCATGTGAAACAGAACAAGGTTCCATCGATGAGGATGATGAAATTGAGATACGTATTTCCTAGTTTGGGCCCTGGCAAGCTTGCTTGGATTGTGAAGGGTGAAAAGGGGCATTCGTACCTTTCTTGCACCTTGGCAAAGTATTGCTGGTGGCAGCACAACGTCATAGCCCGACATGACGTTGATGGGCGATGAGGCGCGCCACACAGCAAGTTCAAGGTGCGGCTCTGCGATCCACAACGTTGTTGGAAAAAGTTGTAGACATGACTAAAAGTTCGGGAGGAAAGGCGATTTGTCTAATAGCCTCACACCTCCTCCTCATCGTCATCATCATATCTCATCCATTGTTTGTTTCGTCGCGGGTCAAGATTTGAGGCCATTCTCATCCCTTCAAATGGCGGTGATAGAAGCTGGATGTTCAAACGGCTGAGGTGACAGGGGCTCACATGCCGCTCCCTTGGGTCAATGTCACCTCCACGGTCAAATATGCACGTAAAACCTGCTGGAACTTGGCCCAAAGCAGTTTGGCAATTAGCGAGACCAAGCACACAGTTGGTACTCTAAATTGCTCATCTGCAAGAGCAAGGAGAAGGGATGCTGGGGGAAGAGGAGGAAGGGGTGGTCAGATGTGGGTTGGCGGGTTCATGTCAGAGATCCTAGGGGAAGCCCATCTGGTCTCGAGATCGGACAACTCTGGTTGGCTGCCGTGTGGTAGGAGGAGGTCCTCGAAAAGGTAAACCAGGGTCCAAGACCCACGAAGGGTCCCAACGCAAAAAACACACAAAAAAAAAAGCAAGGCATTGCGGATGGCGCCGTCCAATGCGGTCCCGCAGAGCACAGTACAGTGCATACAGTGAATGAACAGAGGTTGGATGGTGTAGCACTTTACGAAAACAAAGCTTGACGGGAGAAGCCTGTCGAAGGGCGATCTGAGAGCTAGTTTGATGCTCACAGAGCTGGTGACGCAGGGTCCTGTGAGCAGCGCAGCTTGATTCATCGTGGATGGTGGATGGTGGGTGGTGGAGCTAGCCAAGGACAAGGCGCGCGTCAATCAAAATCCAAGACCAAGTTCGGGCAAAACGGTAATGCTCCACAGTGGAAAGAGAAAAAGAGAAGGGTTAATTAATTAAGTTCTGCAAAGTGCCGGACAAGAGAACCGTCAAGGGGAAAGAAAAAAAGAGTGGACAAGCAAATCTGTACGGGCGCCACCGAATAACCGTTTGGTTTGATCGTGGGCCAAGATGGTGAGGTTGGGGTTTTTTTTGTGACGGAAGAGGCGAAAACGTAACCCAAAGGGGAAACGTTTTTTGGGGAAGTCCCAGTTGACGCGCATCTCACGGTTCCCGTTTTTAAAGGTGGGGAGGTTGAGTGTGACATCACCGGCGTTAAGACGTGGCAAACACGGTGACCTCACAGTGTCTCTTTTTCCTTCTTCTACGTCTCTTTCATATGAAACAGATTAAGTGGAGGGATGGTTTAGGATGGGCTTGTTCCGATGCGGACGGATGATGAGATACCTGCAGCTTCGAAAGGGATCCCTGGAGTGTGTCGTAGGGAGGGGAGTCATGAGGAGACACATATTTGTTCCGTCAGCCTTGTGACCTCACAACTCGAGGCAGCAGAGGAAGGAAAAGAGGTCAACGATAGGCATCATCGTCATAATTTGGGGTTGGCTTCCTAAACCGTAGGTCTTCATATCATTCTTGGTTGGTGCCTGGTTAGTTTCAAGGAACCATTCCTACGCCTCTAGACCTTCAATGCTAAAGGATTGCTCATGTGTCGTTGCCCCCTGTGAGTGCCGCTTCCTGTCATCAGTCATCGTTGGTAGTGTCTGTTGTTGCTTGTCTGCTTTAACCGTAAATTTTCGGAACGGTTGTTCTACAAAAAAGTAAAACACTGTTTTGCCAAGTTCAAGGATTTCCAAGGGTCCTGCAAGCTTGTCGCAGGTCAATTCAAGAAAAGTCAGGCCAGGGCAGGGTAGGGCAATGGGGATTATCCACAACCAACATGGACGATTAGATCCGGGATCGGAAAATCCGCCCCAGGTTATGGGGAAAGCATCACGATCCAGGAACAATAACATGTGTTTGTGGGAGTGGCGAACTACTGTAGGCATGTAATGTCAGGAGTTGCCGTTCATGTCTGAAAGAAAAACCCCCTCTCTCCCCCCTTCCACCCCCCTCCTTGAGTTGGTATGCGGAGCAACAATAACGGCATCCAATCAGCCACTTCGGAGCTTCTCAAACTTGAACAAATCTTGGTTGGGGGAGAAACATTGAGACCCGCCAGCCCGCCTTGGTGCGCACACCACACACCATCGCAGTCGGCCGGCTTCGTTTGGTGCATTCGAACCAAGAGAGCGAATGGACCAATGACCTCATGGCAAGATCCGGCAGCCCCGGTTTATCAAGACTCGAGCCCGGGCCGGTGATCCCTATTCTGAATAGGAAAGCTGCAAGAATTTTTACGTTGGCATGGTTGGATATGCACTGGACCATGCTTGGCTTCTGGCTGTGTGACAAGAGAATGTGGTCTCGAACGTGTGATCATCCTCAGTTTTTTGCGATAAACGCGCGCCCGTGCATTCCTGCGCCGTATCTTTGCGGGACGGTGTGTGATATTATTATTATTACATACAAGTATGTACTCTTATTTTTGCATGGTAACAAGCAAGATAACCAGGTAGTAGGTACGCGAGGAAGAAGAGGAAGATACTTGTACAAGCAGGTGAATTTGATTGCATGTTACATTACATGTAGTACAAGTATTTCGAGACAGGCATAAATGAAATGAAAGAAACAAAGTCGACACCTATCATTTTGCATTCTCACATTATTACGGGTGTTGGATGAAAAAGCCCCCTGCCACCCCCCCGAAGCCCGTTGCGTGATTCTTCGCAGATAGCATGACTTTCCCTGTAAGCCATGACACCCATGTGACGGAGGTGACGACCTGGGATCAGCAGTGTATTTGCCCTACAATCAGTGCAGATTTTTGAAATTGGAAATTTGGTATTTTTTTGGAGAAGAAAAAAAAGTAAGGAAAATTAGGATAAGTTTCAAAGGTTGCATGCCTTGCACATCCAAACACATCCAGAACTACCATCTCAATATGAGCTCGCCAATCATTCAAATGGTGGCGTGGGACGCAAAGGAGGACCCTGAGCAACATGGCACCTCCCCCGGTTCCGGTGAATTCATTCCAGAGTCACCCGGGTGGTGGATCACGGGCGTCTGTCTAGAGGCTCAACAGGTTCTTTGGTCTGGTCTGGTCGGTCTGCGTCTGCGTCTACGTCTGCTATCTACAAGTATCTATTCTTTTAGGTCCGTGTGTACGGAGTTTGGAGTTAGGTTGGTTTAGTAGTTTGGTACTGTGAAATGTGAGAGTTTCTACAAAGACGGTGGGCGACATGGGACATGGGGGCATGGGGGGAGGCGGACATGGAACAGACCTTGTCCAAGTTACGCCATTTTGCCTGGCGCTACGTAGGGGTGGTTTGCCCATGACGATCAGCTCGCCTTTGGGGCTGGCTGGTTGGAGATTTCCCTTGGATGGGAGTCTGGAAGAGAGACACACCACAATTTAGATTGTGGTTCTAGGTCTGGGTCTTTGAGGGGGGCATTCAAGGATGGGTGTGCATCGAAGACACACACGCACGCACGCACACACACACACAAGACATGAAAACGAACGAAAGACAAAAAAATGGCCTTGGTGAGACCAGTCAGGGGTGTGATGTGATGTCGGGTGTGGACGTGCAGATGGGATGTACAAGTAGTAGAGAGATACAGTTTGTACGCATGTGTGTACGTAGGTTCCATAGTACTAGAAGCAAGTTGTAGGTGTATGCAAGGTGGTGGTTTTACAGAGAGGTACCTTCTTACCTCTCTCCCTCTCTCTGTCTCTCCCCCAAGCCTATCCCTTCTCCTCTGTCTCTCGCTCCCCGTCCGTCTATCCCATCCCCATCCATCCATCCATCCATGGATCCATGCATACATACATACACACACATATAATGCTGGGGGAAGAAACCGAATGAGGGGAAGTAACTATTACAAGTACCTTAGCTTTTTAGTGGAGGAGGGCCCTGGATTTTATAAAGACCCTGAAATCCGCAATCTGCTCTTGCAACCTTTATTCTGGACGCAGCTG